TCTCTCTCAGATCTCTCCAAGTATGTGAATATTTCTCAAATCTCTCTAAGTATGTGGAATCTCTCCTAAATCTCTCCAAGTATGTGAAATCTCTCTCAAATCTCTCCAAATATGTGAAATCTCTCCCAAATCTCTCTATTTACCTTCCTCAGTCTAAAAGAACCCACAACCGAAGGAGAAAAACCCTAAAGGGCCCTCTTGGTCCAGAACCCTCTTGGTCCTAAACCTCTTGGCCGGAACCCCTTTGGTCCGGAATGCCTTCTAAGGAACCAAGAGGACTCGCAATCTCGGAACTCCCCTAGCTTCGGAAACTCACTCCAAAGTAAACCTCGCTTCCGAACAACCCCATTCCAAGGAAGCCAAAGTGGCTCTGGACAATCTCGAAGCTCCAGAAGTTCCTCGCCTCGCTTCGCATCGAAAATCCCTGGCCGGACCGGAACGCTGATTCGCCAGCTGACTCTGGATCAGAAAAGCGCTTGGGAACCTGCCTTACTAACAATGGAAGTTGCTTAAGGGCTTCATAAATCCGAGAAAATGCTCCGGTATGGTGGACCTGACTCTGGAATCCTTCCTAAGCAATTCAGAACTTCCCTCAGCCCTTCGAACCCTCGCAGGAGCAAGGATACACTCCGGATTTTTGTTTCATACTTTTTCATCATTTTAAGGCATTTTAACGTCGGGAATTCCTCCAAACTCATATTTTTCATATCCTAAACCCTTTAAACACCTACTTTACTCCAAAACTAATTATTTTAAACATATTATATAAAATGAAACCCAAGATTTTTAAAGTGATTTTAAGAAGATACTGGAGTTTGACTTTATGATGTGATGTAAATCCCTCTTTTCCCATGCAAATCTCAGTAAAATACACATTACCCATAGAAAATAGAGTTTATCCACTAGCTCTCCATGCAAAGTGTAAAGTCACCCTTATAATCCTCATTTACATACGTGAACCCTTCCTTCCCAAGTTTCACTTCTCATTTTCACTTAAAGAAGACTCCCAAGAATACTCTCAACTCCTTCAAGCTCAAGGTTTCATCCCTTCAAAGAAAATTTCCATATTTGTTTTTGTAAGTATTTTATTATCTTTGAATAATAATTCTCCACATTATTCTGAAGATTTCATTATATTTACACATTAGTACTTTCCTAAAATATTCTAAAAGTTCAAAGGATCTTCCAAGTTTTTGGGGCTTCGAAACTTCTTCAGACCCCTTCAAATCATCCACCAAGCTAACCAAGGTGGGCTTCATACCCCACCTTTTTTAAAGTTTTTATTTGTTTTTGGGGGATTGTACAAGTCAACTCTCGTTCTAGATTTCTTGAATAATTGCATGTGAACGTATTTTTGGTATGTTTATTGAAATATTATTAATTTAGTTTAACTTCCCATGAACGTGAAACTTCAAATCTCAAGAAGCATTAAATAATATTTTAATCATCTCATAAAGAACACTAGTTTACAAAAGAGCCTCCTAAGTTTTTTGGGTGTGTCTAGCATGCTCCCTTTATCCATGTCTTTATATCTAGAAATAAAAAGTTTAAAAGTTGGAGCTTTGTGTCCTATTAAGGACTATTTTCAAACTATTAGTGATTATTTATAAATGTTTGATATAAATGATTTCACCAAAAAAATATACAAATAAGCTTTTGTGACAGAAAAATATGTATGTCATAAAACTGTTGCCATAAACTCACACAAGTCAAAGTTGTATACAAATCATAACTGGGCATTTTTCCGACAAATTAAGTGATACTTAGCAAATGAAACGAATGAAACGAAATATCTAGTTATGACTACAACTATTATTATTTATTTAGTAATTAATGTTTTTCATGATATGCTCAAAGATCGGTTAGTATTCTAGTAAGACATATCTTCACAGTACATATATTAATACAATATTGTATACTTTATGTCCAGTAAGAGTTATAACCAGTCTCTTGGAGGGAGAGTAGGAGTTTGTGTATAGATCTATATGAGGTTGACACCCTGCACCTTAGTTGTTTGCTACAGCTAGACCGGCCAGTCTTGGGTGACAAATGTCTTAAACAAAACCGACGATTGAAGAACTTCATAACAAGCACTCCATCACATTAATATGGTTATAACGACTCACTAGAATATATCATAATCGTATTTATACATATTTCACCTTCGGTTTACACTAAACTACGTTGATTTCCTCAATGAGATCTTTTCCAATCAAGTGTTATGTTTTTTAAAAAGCAATTGTTTATATACATCAGAAAATATAGGATTTTTTGGTAGAAATGATGTATTACGATTTTGAAAACAATGAATTAAGACACACATGCAACTAAACTCAATTTGAAACAAGACTCACAACTATTTTGATAAGAAAATATTGGATTTTCTGAATTTCTAAACCATCATCGAAGTTTTATACAAAAATGCATATGAACTTACTAAAATATTTTATGTTGACGCTTTTTCAAATGACTTGTATTCTCAGGAAGTCAATAAGCAGGCTATGCATCGCGGACTCAGGATTATTTTGCTGTGTTTTGGAAATTTGCATATTGATGTCTCTTTTGTGTAAATTTTGAGAACATAAACATGATGTAAAACAATGTAAGCTTTTTATATTGATGTATGATGTTTGGGTTTGCTATGTTTCATTTGTTTAAATTTGTTATGATACTGCACAATGGCGTCACCCGCCTCTCGACGTTTCCGTATTTCTGGTTCGGGGGTGTGACACCATAGACTATGCTAATGAAACAAAAGGTCTCTCATAAATGAAGTTCTGGAAATCAAAAGGAAAATACATTTTAGTACCATTGAATCGTGTGGACTTTTGTTACGATAAGGCCGAACCAATTGCTACAAATGATGTTTCAAGTGAAACTTCATCAGAAAAGAATGAAACACCAATTAGAAAGCAAAAATCGAAAGCTTACATTCGAAAATTAGCTGAGGAATTAATCGCAGAGAAAAGACAAATGAATGCAAGATACAAAATGAATTTGATAAAAATAAAACAATTTTGGAAGAAAGTTGCAATGAATTCAAATCAAAGTTCTATCTATTTATCAATATCATTTAATCAAAATACTGATTCTTCTCGAATTCCGAGATTGATCCAGCCTATGATCATACATATCCACCATAGAATAAATGGACCAAATATCATCCCCGATCATAAGTGATCGAAGATTCTTCATCACGAGTTCCTACTCGTGCTCAACAAAAAGTGAAGCAAATTGCATTACTTTCTAAATTTGAATTTTCATGTTTAATTCTTTTATATCAAAATTTCAACCCAAATCTGTTAAATTTGCTCTTCACCATCCAGATTGGGATCAAGCAAAGCAAGAAGAACTAAATAAATTTGATTGAAACAAAGTGAGGAGATTGGTTCCTACTCCAGCAGGTGCATTAGTGTTGGTATGGTTCTGAAGTTACTATTCACTTCCGACATGTTCCGATCTTCGGAATGGTTCTGAAGTTACTGTTTATTCGGATTCTACAATCTTTTCACTTTGTAACTCTTTTGTTCTTTTCTTTACTTTTTTTCCATTTATTTATTTTCGTTCTTTTCAAAAAAAAATCCAAATATATATATATATATATATATATATATATATATATATATATATTGTAGTATCTTTTCAAAAATCAAAAACAACAAATTTTTTTTTCTAAGAATCGAAATTCATTTCAAAATTTGAGACAACAACAAGAAATTGATGGTTAAACTCTTTCTACAATATCTTATCTCAACTTTCACATAGTCCCTTGATTAATGGAACAAAAACGAGTTCTATTATAGGGCTACAAAAATTCTAGTTAATGATCAGAGAATCATTGTCACCATGATTTTCATGAAACTCATAACCATTCTTCTCCAAATCTATTATTCTGCATCGTAACCGTTAAAAGTCACAAGTATTACCATTGAGGTTTAAGTTACAAAACATCTATGTTTATGATATTGAAATAATTATCACCATTATTTTAAGTGAAACCCAAAACTTCGAATACCTTTTCTGAACTGACGGTGAACAAATCTTAGTTCTATTTATTTTACCAACTGAATTGACGAATAAAACCATTTTGTTTGTACCATTGCATGTTCAAAATCTCATTTTATTTTATTTCATTGTGGGATCTTAATGAAATGTTCTCGACCCAAGCCATTTCTTCCTAAAAGATCGAGGCTTTTTTAATATTTCCATTATATCCAGTTACTACAAAAGAATATCCAAAGCTTACTTGTTTTTATGGCAACATTGGTCAAACAAGTACTTCTTTCAGATCTTCAAACTTATGTTAAGTTTCGGAATTTGGTAGAAGCTGAAACAACCCCTTAACTCTTAATAATAGAATCCTTTCATAGTTTCTCATCAAACTTATGATCGTAATTCAATGGGAAACCAATCAAGCACTTCGGAGTTCCTCTTCACTCAGAAAGAAGAGACTATTTCCTAGGATCCACCCACTTTGCATATCAAAATTGTTTGATTTCACAAAATTCCACACATTAAATTTGTTTTTTATTTCTTTTTCTTTGGCACACCCTTGGAATAAAGTCCTTGTAATTTTATAAACTCCGGTTACTGATTCGATTGGTCACTTTAATTCAGAAGATCGGATATTCATCATAATTCTGATGGACACTTTTCTCGCTTACACAAAGTTGGAGGATAGATCAATGATTCCATTAGTGGAGATTCCGAAATACCCTTGTCCCCATAAATGAAAATTAAAATCATGAAGCGACTTTTCGATTTCCCTGACATCAGCGTGTTTGTTACAATAGCTACTGACACATGATTGATGAGCCGGCGCTTTATTATTGGCTAATTTTTAGGCACTGCTGGAACGTGAAATGGAAATTTCTCTATCCACTCATCATCTTCCATATAAAATTCTCAAAAATGATTCATTCTCCCTCACTTCAAATAGTTCTCAAGGTGTTTAAAGCAACTCAAAGCTCTAAACTATTCATCTTCTTCTTCACTTTGTAATGGCTTCTTCAGAGAAATTATCCTTCATTGATCAATCTGAATCCATGATCATATTGGCTATTAAACCAAATGAAAATCTCATAATCAACTCCGATGCTTCTCGCTACAATTCCCCAATCAAGCCCATGATTGAATGTCTCAAATTCTCACCACTGATGAAGGCGTTAACAATGGCTGAAGTAGTTCCACTAATTCATCTCTGCAAGTCCTTCTCCATGGTCATCCACGCCAAAACTAGAGAAATTGTTAATTTTGAGGTTGCAAACAACAAGACCTCCATCAACAAAGCTAATTTTCACAAGTTGTTGGTGCTTGTATCTTCGAATGATGGTATTGAGCCGGAATCAATTCCAACAATAGGCTTGATAGAGATGTTCTACCATATGGGGTACACCATCAATACTTCTTTATTGTTCAAGTTTAGGAAATCCTTTTTGCCCGCTATCTAAAATGTTCTATTTAACTTATTGTTGAAGATCCAATCAAAAAGGGTTTCTGATTCTAACAGTGCAAACAAGTTGTTCTATACTATGATCTATGGGTTAGACCATGGCAAAAACCTTAACTATGGGTCTGTTCTTTGGGCTCAATTCGTTCAGAGCACCATTTCTTCAACACGACACATGGAAATTACATGTTCTTAATTCTGGTCAATTATTGTGAACCGAGCTCAAACTCTCTCATGGCTGAAATTATGATGCTCCAAAAGACTACGTTCTTCATGTTGTATCCATCAAACTTTGACTTCGTTGCCTCAATCCCGAATGCGTTGCTGGAAAACGTTCCACTAGACAACACCATTATTAGGGATTATTGGAAAATTCCCTCTTATGGTGTTTATCCAATCACAACTGAATAACAAAAGATCATAGATGAAGTTGATAAACCTAAGAGGGGAGGAAAAAAGAAAGAAAAGGTTTCTACTTCAGAAAGTGTCAAAATTTCGAAGAGGGAAAAGAAACCAGTTTAGAAACCGAGATATCCATTTATGATAGTTCAATAGGAATCCAAATAGAGAACTACCACTAAATTTTCGGATGACAAAACTCTTACAAATGAAGAAAAAGAAGATACGATTGTAACTTCTGAACCCAACAATACGAAAAATATTCTGAAGGTATCCTCTCCTCCAATCTCTTCAATTTTGGAACCAAAGATTGTAAACAATACTATGCAGAATCCATTTCTGAATCTCACCACATCTCCACCTCCACCTCCATTCAATCCACTAACATCACAAATAACAACCTCACCAATCACCTCCATAATTCCGATAACATCTAACCCCCCTGTACGATCAACGATTTCTATTAAAACATTACTTCCTCTACTCTCAATTCTACTTTCTTCACTAATTTTTTCTACTACATCCTCTATGTCTACTCCACCAGAAGTTCCGATTATCAAATCCATTTTTGGAGGAGTTTCAGACTTCAGGCATCCCTGGAAACACATCTGATATCGGGCCAAATGCTACCATTGGTGTGACTTCAAAACAGCCTTCTACTTTGGTTCCTCCAATTGATGATGATAATGAGATATTATTCGAAGATGAAAATATTTTTGTGTTTCATCCATTCTTTGTAAATTTCACCAGTGGTGATGGCGAATCACCTATGACAAAAGATCAATTCAAGCAGTTGAATGAGAAGCTTGATTCAACATTGGAGTATTTACATTCCTTCTCTTCAACAAAATGGGAAAATATTCTCACAACCCATCAAGCAACTGTGGAAATCCTCACATCTTCCAATGCCAAATTCATTGAAGAATCAACCAAAGCTGCTCAAGCTTACGAAAAAAGAATCTCAAAAGCTACTGAAAAGGTTCAACACATACAAAAAGAAGTCAAGGAATTCATGGTTGACTTCAAGACCTCTTCTGAAAAGATTATTGCAAACACGAAGAAGGTCATAGAAGGTTTTATATTTTCTTTGAAAACCAAAAAAGAAGCTCTTTCAACTCTCCGTGATGATATTAAACTTGAAAATGTTGATCTCAATATAGCCATCACTCAACATCTCATCAAGTTACAAAATGACTTGGCTGCTGAAAACAAGATTAGGAATGCACTAGCCGAACAGATGCAGAAAACTAAGGTTCTTACTAAGAAGTTGAAGAATGCAAAGAGAAATCTTTGGTTAAAGGGTGAGCTTCCAAAAATCAATTAATGATTGTTATGAATCATTGAAACTTGTGATTCATTATTCATTGTCTTTGTCAACCAAATTCTCCTAGAAAAACTCCAACCTATATTTCCAATGCTGAATCAACTGTGTTTTCGTCAAAAATTGCACAAGTACTAATCAACCAAATTGAATGAGAGGATGTGATGTTCAGATTGTGTAATAGCAAATGATAAAAGAAAGCAACACAATGGCTTACATGGAAAGCCCTTGATCCTTGCTAGGATCTCCGACATAAAACCTTGGAAGGTGATAATGATCACATGTTTTGATGATTTTATTGATATAAAATAAAGATTACAGTGAATTCACGATAAGAATGGGTCGAGAAATTCATAGAGTGAACTTAGACTAAAGAACGGTGTGTCGTATGTAGGTTACAAGTGTCAATTTATAGTCTACACTAGCCAACAAGATGTCTGAAATTTTCAGGATCCTCTATGTCCAGCTTCAACAACGTTATTTGACCAAGTATTACGGGTCTTCAAGATAGTTGAGATGGTTATTCGTTGAGGATTGGTCATCTCTTGGCTACTTCTGCACATGTGTTAGTTATAGACAAAACATGAAAATTAAAAATAATAACGGTAATAACCCCGGTCTTGATGTAGTTAAGGATCCTGGATATTTGAGGATATTGAATATTTTAAGGATCCTAGCCTTAACAATTGCCCACGAGTTATTCCAGAAAATATGGGGGTTAGTTTTGTAAATATTAACGGAATAACTTAAATTAAATACGTAAAATGAAGAGAGAATACTAATTTTCAAAATTAACCCATAATGACTAGGTGATTTAAATCCCAAAGGATATTTTACTAGCCGTTACCAGTCAAATCATTTTCTCCAGCCCAGTATAAATATGACGGATCAGTTTCATATTCTCCAATTTGTTCTTCTTTGCTTCTCTTGTGTCGTCTTGCAATTAGATGGTAACTTTTCTTCTAGGCTTTTACTCTTTCTACCATGGGTCCAAAAATAGTTGTCTCTTGCAAAAGCATCTTGGCTCTTCCCGAGGATGATTTCATCGACCACGGGATCCTTTCTTATGAAGAGACATGCTCTTTTGTAGATGATGAAATCGAGTCTCTAAAACTCAATGGGGCCTTTCCTCCCAGTGCTGTTTTTGGGCCCTTCGATCCTCTAATTCATCCCGATTTCGTCTCTCCTACTTTGGTGTGCTTTCATGAGTATCTTGTCTCCTTATCCTTGAGATATCCTTTCCCCGTGATCATCTCCGAATATTTTAGGTAGATTTTGATTTCTTATATCCAGGCCATGCCGATTGTCTTGAGGATCCTATATTGGGTCGACCAGATAAACTAATCGAAAGGTCTTGACATAGGCCTTTATGAGTTAGCATGCGTATATGATCTCACCAGCTTAAGGAAATCTTGTTTCCATCTCAAGGTCAAAACTCTTACATCTTTTCTAATATTGAAATCCAAGCATAAGGACATGGATTAGAAAGGAAGATACCTCTTTGTGAGGCGTGACCTTATTCCCAACAGGGATGTCTTGCCCACAGATTAGGTTAAGAAGGGTAGGATTTCAATTCTTTCCCTTGTGATCTTGGAATCTTTTTCTGATTTTGTTTGTTTCTTTGCAGCCTTAAAATTCAAGGAACTTGTTCCCGTCGCTTAGGATTCTAAAGAAAAGATTGAGAAGTTTTTGGCCTTGCTTGAAGTCAAGAGATCCTTCTGATTTGAACAAGCCATTCTATAGGGAAGCTCCTCCGCTACTGACCTCATGTCGACGGGTAGCGATCCTTAATTTTTTCCTGTTTGTGGTGCGGATCCTTAATAATCTTTTGTTTATATAGGATCCAAGGTCACTCGCTTCAGTGCCCGCTTTACTGTTGTTGATCTCGATACGGCCATGTCAGGAGATCAGCTTGTGGTGAAGAAGAAGAATAGTTCATCTTCTCTTCCTCCTAAAAGATCAACTGTGGATTTAATAGTGAAGACTCTGGGATCTCAGAAAAGGAAAGTTGTTGATTCTATGGGTTTATCTTTAGAGAGCCTTGGAGCTGCGGAAGCGCTCCAAAAGTTGGTATCTTTCTCTCAAGTTGTAAGTCTTGATTTTGTTTTCACTTTATTCGTTTTGGTTTTTTTTTGATTCACCATATCTCTGTCATAGGTCTCTTATTATGTCTCACCTGATCATAGGATCCGGGCGGAGAAGGCTGAACAAGCCGTTTAGGGTCAGGAGAAGATATGGAACGCGACCAACGAGGATCTTCTGAACAGGGTGGATCTACTCAGCAAGGAGAAGGCCGGGAGAGAAGAGGATCACGTCCAAGAGATAGAGGAGTCGGTCTCTGAAGCGAAGGTCAGTGTTGTGGTGGCTATATAGGAGACCAAGATCTGTCTTGCTAAGGATCTGGAAAATCCTGGATTCAGGCCTTTTAGGTGATTAGGATAGCATAACCTTTTGAAGCATGACTTTTGTAAGGTTGTGGGACTTTTTGTTTTGAATATAATGGTTGATCTTTCTTTCATATTTCTTGTTTCCTGGTTAATATAATATCGGGGTTTTTGCATGGTTACGATCCTGAAAAAAGTGAGTGATTCTTAGAACAAAATGGATAAATAATAATTAGTTAAAAAATAACAATGGCCGACTTTGTTAACTGATCTAAAAGTTTCTTTCAAAATTTGATAGATTAACTTGCAACCCATAAGGGCTTCTAATACGGTTTTAATACTTCCGTGAAGATATCAAAATATCTAATGACTCCAAAGTGTCGAAAGTTCATATTTCAGCGATTAGTTTAGGATCCATGAATGTTTAGGATCCTTGATTTAAAATTTCAAAAGTTAAGAAAAGATGGAACCTGATTTTCTTTGAACTTCATGAGTCTTTGAATTTTGAGATTTACTAAGGATAAATTCTAACTTAGGAGAGAACTTTGGTTCATTGTTGAGACTGATGTTCCTTATTAATGAAGGTCGATGACGATCCTTAAGGTCAAGTATCCTTACTTCTAGGGATTCTACTAAGGGTCTTAGATCTCACAAGGGAAATTTTCGCTTAGGATAACTTGTTCAGATTATAGACTTTGAAAAAATAGAAAACATGTTAATGTTATATTCTGGGGAGGTTCCCAACTTGTGATATAATTTATTGGATAGATAACATGAAAATGCTACAATTCGACCATATTCTCTGAGAGAATTCCCAACGTGTGATAACATGAAGATGTTACAGACATTATGTAATTTCTGGGTTGAAATCCCAATCTTCGATAACATGAAAATGGT